CAGGATACTAATTTAATTATCATACCCTAACCCACACACCCAAAGTCTAGTCACCTCTGAAAAGCCCCACCTATGAGCACATGAGTCTGGGGGTTGGGGAGGCATCTAGATATAAGCCATAACACTATGCAAGAAAATGGAACTGATATTTAAGGAGTGCTTACAAAATTCCTACATTTTTTAATATCTGTGCCAATGTTCCAATAAAGTCAGAATTTCAGACAGACAGACTGAAGCATATCTACTAAAAGTAACCAACTTGTCATTGTCAGAAAGGTGATTTAAACTAAAGTTCCATGCCAGGCTATGCTCTCTATGCTCTCTCCATTACTATATAATGCATCCCTCATGGAATTGTGTTTAATCACAGATTAGGTAATTTCTGACCTTTCATGTTTAGAGCTCAACATTAGTCCAAATAAACCTAATAAACTTTATAAATACTTAATGCTAAATACTTTTACTACTCTCCACTGAGCATGAGAAAAGCAATTTCAAATTGATTGAATGCACTTTTAGACATGGTTTACCAGTAGAGCAGTTTCAGGTAATTCAGCAGAAATTTTCTTATTTATTTGTACTGATAAACAGACACAATAAGTGCATTTTGAATTAGCTTGAGTATTTTTTCTGTGATATGACTAACTGGCCATCAGATGAGATATTCCTTATGCTTCCCATTTCAGATCCAGATGAGATATTTCTTATGCTTTCCATTCAGGAAGAAGGCCATACTCAAGGGGACAGAAGGTGAGTTATGTATATCTAACATATTGATTCACCAGATGCTCCTCAGTGCTATCTGGTGCTCTTAAGAAGTTAAGATTGAAGAGTGTGATGTTGGTTTGGCATTCTGCTCTGAGGTCTCATGAGCATTTTTAAAACCCTGATGGGAGAGAGGAAACATTCTTTTGCTGCTGATCATGATTGTTACAGTTCATGGAGCTTCATCTTTTGCTGTGTATTCCTTGTGAAAAATTGGCATGACCCTTGATTGAAAAAGAAATCCAGATCCTTGGGGAGTTATGGATCCTAATGTAGCTCAAGGATTATAAGAATTGACCAACAATGCAAGCCCATTGAAAGTTACAGAAGACATTACAGGTGATCAAATGACCATTCATCCCAAGACTACCCTATGAGTGTAATGGAAATATTTCCGTATAAACTGAATTATGAACACCAATTTGTGAAAATGCATCTGCTATATTTTTGGGGGTTTTTCTATAGTTTTTGGACTCTGGATAAGGAATTAAAGGTAGTGCAGTGTTATGGCTTGTGGCTAGATGTCTGCTTAAAGCCTCATACAGTCATAGAGTTTTTTTTTTTTTTGGAGATGATTGTATCTACAGTGTGTGATTGATTTGTAGTGCAATGCTGGGATTAATGGTAGGTGAATGATGGGTCAGTCCACTGATTGGATTGGCACTGCCCTAATCCACGTAGCCTCCTTACAATATAAGGGAAAGAAAGAGGCTTGTCCTCTCTCTCCTCTCTCTCTCTCTCTCTCTCTCTCTCTCATTGCTTTTGGTATTGTCTGCCACCCTGAGGGATTGCCCCTCTGCCACACCACACTGCCTTTGAGCCAGCCAATGATGGACTGAAACCTCTACAAACTATGAGCTAAGTAAAACTTTCCTCCTTTAACTTTGGGTATTGGGTATTTTTTTCTCAGAAACAAGAAAGTTAACTAAGGCAGAATTTACCAGAGAAGTGGGGTCATTGCTGTGACTATACCTGACTATGTGGTTCAGGAGCCTTTGGGGATGGCTTGTGGGGAGAGTTTGGAATGACAAACTCTTGGAGATAACAGCTGAAAAAGTAGAGCTAACATGCCTTAGGCTGTTCTATATAGGAGATTCTGGTCAGAGCTCAGAAGACCAGAAAGCCAGTAAAGACCATGCTCAGGATGTTTTTGCTGGGAAGAGGACTGCCTTGGTTGTTAGAGTCCCAACAATTTATGTTATGGCTTGGAAGAAAGTTTGTTTGCAATTTCCTTGTGCCCAGAAACTTTGCCTAAGACTGAGATTAAAGGCAGCAAACTAATTAACCATGTAGAAGAAATTTTAAGGCAGTTGAATGTTGAGGCAGTGACATGGCTGCTGTTGAGAGCTTTTAGCCAGATTTATGTTGAGAATCAAGAGCAAAGAGCTCAGCAGGTTTAAAATATTGTGAGTTTGGCCAGAAAGGAAGATCCAATAAAGCTGTGGACTGCAAAGATAGAACAGAAGAGATTTTTATTGCTGAGGAAAAACAGGAGAATAGAAAAGATGACCTAAGGGCATCACAAGAAGCCACAGGATCCCACCATTTGCAGCCTCAAAATTGTAAAAGTTAAAGAATTTGCTCTGAGAAGAAAGCCACAGAACACCATTTTCAGAATGGCAGTAGCATAGAGAATTAGTTCCTCCGAATTGAATTCAGAGTGCTCAGCAATCCAGGCACTTGACCCCTACTGCCAAGAGGGGAGGAAGTCTGGCTACTGCTCCAGCTGCCAGCAGACCTGGACATCATCCAAGTGGTGCTGGTTTTAGGTACATGCAGAATGGAAGAGTTGCGGGTTCAGGAAGGCTTCCACCCTGATTTCAGAAGGCCTGAGAGGCCAGACAGTGTGCCCCTGAGAGGACAGTGCATAAAGTTGTGAGTGTGAAGCCAAAGGTGCAGTGGAGACCCCAGAAGTTTGGAGAAGCCAGGAACCTGGATTATCTAAGGAAAACTTCAAGGAAAGGGCAAATTGAGCCCAAGAGAGAAGCCATGGGGGCTACAACCACTATAAGTGCTGTAGGGATGGAGCCACTCAGAACTTTTGGAGTTTACATTTTCACACAGATTGCCCCAGATGCTGCACATGGAACTACAGGACTTAACATGTGCCTGCTGGATTTTGGGTTTGCTTTGGCCCCATTCCTTTGTATCCCCATTTGTAACTTTTGGAATGAAAATGTTTATCTTGTGCCATTGAATACTGGAAGTGTTTAACTATTTTTTCATTTGTATAGGTGCTCATAGCTAAGAGTGTGACTTAAATATCAGAGGAGACTTTTGACTTGGACTTTTTAGTAGTGCTGAAACTATTGACTTTGGCAACTCTTGGACATGGACTAAATGTGTTTTGCATAAAGGGATGTGCATGAGTCTTTGAGGCCCCAGGGGCAGAATGTTATGGTTTATATCTAGATGTCATACCCAAAACCTCATATAGTCATAGTTTTTTGGGAGGTGATTGTATCTAGAGTGTGTGAATGACTCATAGTGCAATGCTGGGATTCAGGATGGGTAATTGCTGGGTCAGTCCACTGTGTGGATCGGCACTGCCCTAATCCAGGTAGCCTCCATACAGTTTAAGGGACAGAAAGACGCTTGTCCTCTCTTCTCTCCCTCGTTGCTTTTGGTGTCTTCTGCCACCCTGAAGGGTTGCCCCTGTGCCATGTCACCTTGCCCTAGAGCTAGCCAATTGTGGACTGAAACCGTACAAACTATGAGCTAAATAAACCTTTAACATTACTCCTTTAACTTTGGGTGTTGGGTATTTTGCCCCAGCAAGGAGAAAAGTGACTAAGACATGCAATAATAACCACATGGTCCAAAAATATTTCTTTGTTGTTTTTTATTTGAATTTTATATATTTAAATATCTATGTTTATAATGCTTGTTTTCCTTAAAATGTGGGTAAAGATTTGTAAATTAAAAAACCACTTTTGCAAGAAAAAACTAAAAATATTTAAATCTAGGCGAATGTGTTATGCTCCTATTTTAGTTGCATGGTGGAGTTTTCTTACCCTGCCACACTTTTTTGTCAAGTGTCTGTTGTAAATAATGACAGAATTTTGTGAAAGAGATGTTAGAGTTATAATCTGTAACCTCAGATTGAAATTAAAAATGCCACACATATTATGTTCCTGATCTTATTGCAACTAGCTAGTAGTTCCAAAAAAGTTACCCATTTATTTACATGGGAACAGTAACAGCATATGAATTATATTTAATAATGAACATGAGAAATGACAGTTTACCTCTTGGTTTAATATTCTGCTTTATAAGTCTAAATTTTGCTTTTCTTAGATATAGATTTCCATTTGTGTTCACTCTTGGAATAATGCTGTGTATACTTCCACAATGTTTACTTTACTGTTAGACAGTATGTATAGAATGGAGACTTCACTGAGATCATGCCATTCATGGATACATCTCTTTTGATGGCACACAAAACAGCAGATATAGGTAGTTGCTTAAAATGACACCAGAAGGTGCAGACAGATAGAAGTTAGATTTTATGTCTGTTTAGGAGGGACAAAGGAATATGAATGATAGCAATGAAGAGGAAGACAGGCTAAGCGAAAATAAATTTAAAAAAAGGAACACACTCATCATTAGCCCTAAATTTAGGGTGGCAAAATTAGAGATAATAAAATAGCAGAAAAATCATAATGTTAATAATTAACGTTTATTGAACTGTTGTTATTTCGATTTTATAGGTGGGAAACAGACACAGAGTGGTTGGTTAAATAGGTTGACCAAATTTACACAGCTAGAAGATAGCAGAATTTTAATTCTAATCCCGGCTAATTCTAATCTGAACCTCCATTCTAAAAATGGGGGATTAACAAAGTACTACGGAGAATGAAAAGGTTTAGAAGGAACAAGAGACCTAAGGAATAACTGGAAAAAGACTGCATTTTTTAAAACTCCCAATGGGCTAATTAGTTGTGTATTACTGCCAGAGCGCTTTGTATATGTTAGCTCAGGTAATTTCGCTAACTCTTAAGTAGTTACTATTTGTCCTAGTATTTTTCTGACGAGATCACTTAATAGACGCTTGCGAGGAGTTAACTTCAAAAACTGACTGAAGCAAGGTAAGGAAGACTGTAGAAGACTTGGAGACAGAATAGTGCAGGGCGGGGCAGGCAGGTTGAAAGTGAGAAATTCAGGAAGTTTTCTATTTAGGCAGAGGCGCTTCCAGCATTCAAAACTCTCCAGCCCGCCCGCCAGCGAATCACTAAGCCCGCCCCTCAGCCACAAGGCCATGCCCACTTCGTTGGATGTTCTCTGAGCTCCCAATACCTCCCTTCTCCTCTTTGACTCCGCCCACCCCGCTCGTATCATTTCCTGTGCGCCTGATGCTGATTGGTCTAGAGGTCGGAAGTGAGGGCGGGCGGTGGGGCGGTTGCCGCAGTGACAGTGCTGGGGGAGTCTGAAGATGGCGGCGTCGCGTCGCTCTCAGCATCATCACCACCATCATCAACAACAGCTCCAGCCCGCCCCAGGGGCTTCAGCTCCGCCGCCGCCACCTCCCCCACCCCTCAGTCCTGGCTTGGCCCCGGGGACCACCCCAGCTTCCCCCACGGCCGGGGCCCTGGCCACTTTCGCCTCCCCTCGGCACGGCCTAGCGCTGCCGGAGGGGGATGGCAGTCGGGATCCGCCCGACAGGCCTCGATCCCCGGACCCGGTTGACAGTACCAGCTGTTGTAGTACCACCAGCACAATTTGTACCGTAGCCGCCGCTACCGTGGTCCCGGCGGCTTCCGCTTCATCCGCCGTTGGGGTCGCTCTCAACTCAGCAGGCGGTGGCAGTAACAATTCACCCTCGTCCTCTTCTTCCCCGACTTCTTCTTCATCTTCCTCTCCATCCTCCCCTGGATCGAGCTTGGCTGAGAGCCCCGAGGCGGCCGGGGTTAACACCACGGCAACATTGGGGCTCGGGGCAGCGGTACCTGGGACAGGGGTCCCAGCAGTGAGCGGGGCCCTACGGGAGCTGCTGGAGGCCTGTCGCAATGGGGACGTGTCCCGGGTAAAGAGGCTGGTGGACGCTGCAAACGTAAATGCAAAGGACATGGCTGGCCGGAAGTCTTCTCCCCTGCACTTCGCAGCAGGTCAGACTTTTGAATTGTTTGTTAAGGGTTTTGGGATGGGGGTCGGGTGGTCCGACAAGGAAAAGAAAACAGGTTATTGTGAGGGGACAAAACGGGGGCGTGGTTACGCTTCTTTAGGACTTCGCCTGGGAAAGACAAGTTCTTTGCTTCTGATAGCCTCTGGGTGTCGGGGGCGTGGAAAGGGAACGTGTAAATTCATTCTTTAGTGAGTGCACAGTTCTTATTCTAGGACTGTGTAATAGTAGTCTGTGGACATATATAAACTTTTTCAGTTCTGAGCATGAGAACTTGAGTAGCTTGAGTGTAGCTTTGTGTTTGTGTGTTACCTTTATTTTGATTTTACACGATGGTTGTTTCTTTAGGACAGTTCAGAGCAAAAGAAGTTTTAATGTAACTCAACAAGTGTCTGTTGTAGTCTTAGTAAGTCACTGAAAGACATACATGGACTGAGTTTCTGCAACTCCCAGTCTGCTTGGGGAGAAAGTATACTTATATAAAGCAACTGGGAGAAGAATATTAGTGTGCATTATAATCTTTGAAGTTGTGGACATTGCTATTAGCATTGTAAAAGACAGTTTCCCTGATCTTAGTTGTCTCAGTTTTCTCATGGGCAAAATCATACGTAAGGTTGTGTGAGGATTTAGTGAGAATACTGTGTCTGCCAAGTAAGTTCTTCAGAAAAAGTGCAGATTCCTACATTGTGAACCTCACTTTATTTTGGCATTGCTTTTTTTTAAAAAAATGAAATACAGAGAAGTATAAAACAAAAACAAAGGCCATAAACTAACTGCTCACATACCTCTGCCTGATGTTTTTGAAGATGAAAGTAATTGCATTAGGAGCGTTACATTAGAAGTGTGAGCTTTATATATACGTTATACAACCCAAATAGGACAGAAAGATATGAGATGAAAAGGCACTCCCCACACACATCAAATATAATATACCAAAGATACCCACTGTTGAGTTTCTTGCAGCATTTGTAATGTCATTCCTTAATTTGTTCTGTTAATAGTAAAACATAATGTTTGCAACTCTCATATATTTAATTTGTTTTTACTGCAACTCAGTAGGTATTGTTATACTCATTTTATAATGGGCACGTGTTGTTTAAATAAACCCAGATTTACTCAGAAAGTGGTGCGATTTGGATGTGAATTCCGGCAGTCTGATTTTAGACCTTTTAAAATCAAGCTTAAACTTATTGTAAGCTATACCAGGCTTATGGTCATTTTTCATTTTTGTGAATAATTGCAATACAGAGTTTCTAATGTATTCAATGTTTTGGGGAAGAAGTAATTGGGACCTATAGACAAGACTAGCTTTCACATAATTTTTATTACAGGCCATACTTGAAAATACATTTTATGTTGTCACACACATGCAACAGAATTGAAAGTTTCAGGAAACTATAATTTCTCTTACACATGTGTTATATACTCTGATATTTTATGTTATAGTCCATTTCGTTTTAGCAAATACTAATTGTGAACCATAAATCGGTCATGACCAGTGGTGTGAGAAACACAGGAAATCATTATTAGGTCACTAACTCTATTTTTGATTTATAGATGACTACTATTAGGAATGTAGTGAGTTGGGTCATAAATAGGCTTTTGTCTAACTAGTTACTCCAGGGTCTTGCTTGTTTTAAATGAAATGCCACTTCTTTTTCGTTAGGCTAAATAAAAGGCCTAAGCCTGATTTTGTGCATCAACCGAGGATGCTTAGTTTTGCATCTTTAATACATTTTACAAATCTTGTCATTTCTTCCTATATGTTTTTTGTAAGAAATTGCCAAGAAATGATAGCTATATTTATTTGTGGATTAATTATTTCAGATCAGTCACATAAAATAGTACTTATCTTCTAGATCACATCTTCCGTTTGCGCAAGTTACTTTTAATTCTCTTCTAGAGTTTTATGTGTACCCAAATAAGCTAGAATACAAACAGTAAAACTACACTGTAATTATGTTGTAATTCTGTTGTAGTTACGAGAACCTTTCAACTGGCTGTTTTAGGGATAAAAATATTTTTTAGCTCAATTGTGGAAAATAGACAAAACAATGATAAAGGTCTCTATGATATTAAAACATAACATCCTGTACTTATTACACTTTCATGTTTGTATAGATAACATTAAAGCTTTGTTAAAGTATAGGTTAAGTAGTTAAAAACAATTCTTAGTTGACTTTTAGCTGGTTTTTATTACAGTCATTGAACTGTCATGGAAAAGCTGTTCCAAAGATAAGAAATCAGGACAACCTCTTAGAAGGAAAAGTTTCAAAATGACTGTTAATTTGTTTTGCAAATACTTAGGTGTAAAATACTGGCACAATTTTTAAGTGGCAGAAAGTCCATATTCTTACAGAGTTACTGTATAGTGAGTGGGGAATTCCAAAGAGCAGCAACACTAACAAAATCCCACAAAGTGTGTAACCTAGAGTGATAGGAAAAGTACTTTATAGTATCTTTTGGCATAATAGGGGACATTTTCTTGGATTTGGAGCATTAGGGTTTTGTTTTGTTTGTTTCAAAGCAGGAAATGTACAGGGAGAGTCAAGCTAGTCAAGCAAATGTTGGAGGGAGTAATGTTAACTAACATCTAAAAATGAGTTTACGGTTCTGTAGCATGAGATGAAACCATTTTTAAAGTCTTCAGGAATGATACTAAATCATATTTAAGCCCTCGTGACTCTACGTTACCATGACGGTAACCATATTCTTTCTAGTAGTAGAATTAAAAAAGAGAACTATATTAGTAATAGACTGATCCTATCCATAATTAGGACATGCACTTCAGTTTCCATTGGTGATGGAAGTTCTCAAAGTACTTCTAATGCCCTCACAGGGTGAAAATTAATCCAGTTTTTTCTTGTAGACTAGAGTTTATATGAGGCTTTATCTTCTACAGATAAGGTCCTTGATCCTGGTTTTCTGTTGTTCAAAGTACAGCACTCAAAGGTTTTTTAAAAATAGTACCAATTTTGAGTGATAGCATCTCTTCAGTTCCTCAGTGCATAATTTTGCTAAAGGACCAGTATAAGTTTGATGAGGTCTTTTTTTTTTAATGGAAAAGTTCAGATGAAGTTTTTTTTTTTTTTTTTTAATTTTAGGAAAGCATTAAATTCTGAGATCTCATACATTAACTTCAGGTTGAAAAATTTTAAAATATGCTTTTGCTAATTAACATTTGACTTGTCTTATGTCTCATGATATGATATGAGATGTTTTGTATCAAAACTAGCAAAATATAGATTCCAGTTTCATCTTCTTTTGAAGAATACATTTAGCCCTACACAGGGTGCTCAGTTGACCGTGATTTCTCAGCATGACCTTGCTTTTTTCCCCTTTCACCAATACAAATGTTGTTTCCCCAGTAGAAAACTCTGTCCTGTAAACTGTTTCCCACCAATGGGTAAAAAAATGGGTCAGAGTCTTCAGTCCTAGAGTGAGAATCTTTTGTGCTTTTTATTGTCTGACAAGGTCTTGAACTATTTTCAAGCAAGTGTCCTGTCTTGGAGACTAAGAATCTAATTTGGTAACAGTTGCTTTTAAAACAGGACTAATATCACAAATATCTTCCTAGACCAAAAATTGCTAGCTACCAGTTAGACTATCTTTTACTTACTGTTTTCTTAAAGTCTTACACTTTCCTTAAAGAATCCCTAAAAACTTGACATAGAATTCTAGTTAGAAAGGTGTATGAAATTTACCTTTTGCCTTAATGCTATCACTTTTTGGGAAAAGGTAATTTAAGGAGTAAATTACCTATGTATAAAATGATATGTAAATGTATCTCTAATAGTGAAAAGTTGGTAACGAGCAAACTATTAAACAATAGAGGACTGCTTACATAAATTATAACACTGTACAATTTCTGTTAATACTGTCTGCTTATATATCCCTCCATTTATGTCTTTTTAATGCATGCCATTGTAAATTGCAGGCATCTCTGCAGCAACCCTTTATAAAGACTTATTGGTGCAAATCTTATGATATATTCACTGGGTTTTGAAAAATGCAAACACTTGTATAACTCAAATCCTTATGGAAAGTTATTACAACCACAGAAGGTTCCACCATGCCTCTTACCTTTTATCCTTTACTCCTGCCCCTCGAACCACTGTTCATTACTGTAAATAAAAGTTGCCTATTTTGGCTGGGCATTGTGATGTGTGGTTTGGGAGCCTGAAGTAGGAGTATCTGAGTTCAAAGCCAGTCTGGGCAACTCGGCGAGACTCTGCCTCAGAATAAAAAGGACCAAGAATGTAGCTCAATGGGAGGGCCCTGGGTTCTATGTTCAGTACTGCCATCAAACACAAAAAGAGTTGCTTGTTTTAGAAGTTCACATAAATGGAATCAAAGAATATATACTCTTTCTGAAGGACTTCTTTTGCTCAGCATGATATTTTTGATGTAGCATGTGTCAGTAGTTCCTAATTACTGCTGAGTAGATTTTATTACGTGAAGGTGCTATAGTTATCCCTTGTTTTGGTAAAACTCTTAGGTTGTTTCTTGCCCTGGCTGTTACGAATCAAGCTGTTACAAACATTCTTAAAGATTCTTCTTGTAATATTGATTTTCTTTCTCTTGGACAAATAAGTAGTATTAGAGTTGCTGGGCCTTTTAGGTAGTAGGTCAGTGTCTTGATGTTAGCAAGATTCAGTCCCTCATAGGTTTTTTTTTTTTTTTTACTATGCCATTCAGGCTGGCCTTGAACTCACTTTGTAGTCCAGGCTGGCCTTGAACTCAAGTGATCTTCCTGCTTCAGCCTCCCGAGTGCTGGGATTACAGGCACGTACCACCACTCCTGTCCTCCTCAGGGGTTATTGGACTGAGGTCTCCCTCAGTTTTGTAGGGCAGATTATAATATGTCAGATGACTTTAGTCAAAGCTGGCAAGGGAGAGAGCAAGAGAGGCTTCCCACAGCCTTCTTAAAATCTCATCACTTTTGCTGAATTCTGTTTATAAGAAGAACATCAGTAGGCCCAGGCC